TTTGTTTGATAAACTGACAATACCTTTTTTGAAAAGAAAAAATGAGGCTAATGAAGTGTTTCATTTTTAAAATTTTATTAAAAAATATAACGATGAGGTTTATGTTATATTAACTGTCCATAAATCTTAAACAGAGGCGGAAATAAGAAATTAATGGCCTATGAAGATAAGTGAGATGTTTTAAAAATTTGATGGATTTTCCAATGCTTTCCAATTTTCCAATGGATTTTCAAATCTTTGTCTATTTTTATATGCCTGCTATGGACTCAGCAAAAAATAATATAGTGTTGATGCTTCTTTCCTTGAAAAAGCAATATTCCAAAAATCTGACCATCATTATTATTATTTTACAAACTTCAAAATTAAATATAAAATAAAGAAACTTATTGAAAGAAATTTATTGTCTCATATTTAACTCTCCAAAATAAATTTAAATTCAAATTGAAACATAATAGTTTACGTTACTTTAACAGAACATTGTTTACATTCACAATATCATTAAAATATAATTGCCAAAACATTAAATACACACAGTTATACAATATGTTAAATAAAGTTAATTATTAAAAGATATTTAGGTCTTTTAAAGTTTATAAATTTTCCATAATACTCTTATAAAATGGATATACCACATTTAACTAATAAGCTGTAATTGGATAAATAGTATTTTGAAAGTTTATATTATTTAGTATTTTGAAAATTTATAAACAAAGAAATTTTTTTTTTAATTTACCAATATTTTAATTATTAATATTATCTATCATACTTTATGTATAACGGGTGATGCGGAAGTTATCAGACAATTCTGAATTTAATTCATAACAAATTTCTTTAATAATTTAATAATTCGTTTATGAGCATAATAATTTGTTTTTGTAGTTTTATGCTTAGGCATATATGTTCTATAAAATATAAACTTTATTACTTGAAACACAATTATTTAAAATGAGGTTAAATGCAGCTGAACAAGAATCTTTTCGAAAGCAAATTTTTTTTGTAAATAAACCTAATTTTTTTTGTAAATAAACCTAATTATAAAAAAAAAGTAATCATTTTGAAAAGGAAGGATTTGCTCAAAGTACAATAAATGGTAACCTAATAAGACTTGAAACTGTTCAATCCTTTTCTGATAGAAAGCATCCTGGTTGTCCAACATCCTGGACTAGAGAAAAGAAAGCGAAATTAACGAGATTTGTCAACAATCGACAAGGAGTGGTTCTGAGAAAAATATGTTTTAAATTCAGTGTAACTCAATTGACAATTGATTGTCTGTTAAAAAATATATATATTAAATATAAAAAAGACTCTAAAAAACACTATAGAACAACAATTATATAGAAAAGAAGCAGAAAACTAGTTAATCAGCTCTATAACACAAAATCGCTTTTGGTTATCGATGTCGAAAAATACTTTTGTTTTTCGGGGGACAACATGCCAGGAAATCCTGGATACTACACAAACAACCAAAAAACATTCCTAGAATATGTTCGTTTTATAGGAAAAAAGAAACTTCCAAAAAAATTATCAATGTGGATAGCCATATCTGTCATGGTATGTTTGAGCCATTGTTTTGCACTTCCAAGTCTGTAGCAATTAATTTATCTATCTATATTGATATAAATATTTAGAAAAATGACTTCTTCAACTCATTCACACGAATCATGGAGACTATTTATTTTAGCCAGATTTAGCAAGTTCTTGTTATTCTGAAGATTTTCTAAATTGGATGAAACGATATGTTTATTACGTTGATAAAAAATCCAAATACATGCAACATGATTGTGTGGCAGAAAATGAAAAGGTAGTCAAATTATATTCTGTTTTTCGTCAACTTTTAGCAAATGAATATTGATGTAGACACATGAAAGATTATTTAATGCTTAAATTAATTTAAGTTGTTTTTATGCTTCCGAAAGTTTCGGTTTCTCTAATTGTCGCATGATATAAAAGGTATCATTGTTAAATGTTATTTTAACCATAAATTTATTTGCACAATCGGAATTAATTTAGCGTGAAAATAGAGCTAACATATTCAAATTGTTATTGGTCAAATTTAATACTTTATAAAATATATATTTTAAGAAAATAACAAAAAAACTATTGCAATTTTCATGTAACATAAGTTAACAAAAACATAATAAAGTTTTGTTTTTTTAAAGTTCTAACACTTTTTCGTTAAGTTTTTGTTTACAAAATAAATTACGTTATTAAGTAATTCGTGTTGGTATGACAAGATTTCAACTTAAACTTTTTATATTAGGAGAATTTAGAAAAAAAATATTAATTAAAAAAATGTTAATTAAAATTATTTATATTATTTCTTTTTTATTTGTTTATGTAAATAAACAAATAAAAAAGAATAATAAACTTTTAGTATAATAATTTTACAGAATTGAAAAGTGGGGGGGGGGGGGGGGGATAAAATGCAAAAAACCTCAACACTTTTAAAAGTGAGGGGGCTGAAGCCCCCTAAAGCCCCTAAAGCTCCCACTGTTCCGTCACCCCTGTATATATTTATATATGTGTATATATATATATATATATATATATATATATATATATATATATATATATATATATATATATATATATATATATATATACACATGTCAACTAAAATAAGAATACATAAACAAATAAAAAAGAAATAATATAAATAATTTTAATTAACATTTTTTAAATTAATATATATATATATATATATATATATATATATATATATATATATATATATATATATATATATATATATATATATATATATATATATATATATATATATATATATATGACCCTGCTGAAAAAGAAACTGACACTAGAAGTCAAATTATATTCTGTTTTTCGTCAACTTTTAGCAAATGAATATTGATGTAGACACATGAAAGATTATTTAATGCTTAAATTAATTTAAGTTGTTTTTATGCTTCCGAAAGTTTCGGTTTCTCTAATTGTCGCATGATATAAAAGGTATCATTGTTAAATGTTATTTTAACCATAAATTTATTTGCACAATCGGAATTAATTTAGCGTGAAAATAGAGCTAACATATTCAAATTGTTATTGGTCAAATTTAATACTTTATAAAATATATATATTTTAAGAAAATAACAAAAAAACTATTGCAATTTTCATGTAACATAAGTTAACAAAAACATAATAAAGTTTTGTTTTTTTAAAGTTCTAACACTTTTTCGTTAAGTTTTTGTTTACAAAATGAATTACGTTATTAAGTAATTCGTGTTGGTATGACAAGATTTCAACTTAAACTTTTTATATTAGGAGAATTTAGAAAAAAAATATTAATTAAAAAAATGTTAATTAAAATTATTTATATTATTTCTTTTTTATTTGTTTATGTATTCTTATTTTAGTTAACATGTAAATAAACATAAATAAATAAAAATAAGAATTAATCATTTATATTTAGACATTAAAAAAGAGAAAAAGTTTTATTTGTTATTCTCCCAAATATTAAAAAAATCAGTTAGAATCTTTTTTATTTTTATTTTAATAAAACAAATCGTTTATAAATGCAATTATGGATAATCCATAAAGCATGTTAACCTATATTTGTTAATTCTTAACCCCTTCCCTCCTGTCACAAACAATCACATATACCTGAACCCCTCTCCCTCCTAAACTGTGATATCAGTTTTTCCGTCAAAAGTATTTTAAAAGATTTAAATGTAAATACTTTGCAGCATTTGAAAAATTCAATCTAATGAAAATAAGACATTATGAATAAACTCAAGGAGTATAAGTAAAAACTTTAACAAACCAAAGATTTTCTTATTTAATCAATTCAAATAAGTATTAATAAAGTTGTATTGTTAAAATAATTTTTAAAGTTGCTCTTGGACTTGCGTAAAAACTGTTTTCCATTAGATAACTTTCATAAATGTTATGAAAAATCACTCAGGAAGAGTGCCACCAGTTTCTTAAAATTTCCTTTGTTAATTATTTTTAATGAATGAATTCAATACTTATGCAATTCTTTTGTTTCATAACTCTAACTCTGAATAATAGATATAAAAAATCCATGAATAAATATCGCTTGGTATTGTAAATGTAACTTAAGTTAAATATATAGTTACAAAAAAACAAGTTTATTTTCCTTTAACCTCTGATAAAATTTTATGTATTTTTTAAATTGGCATAAAAATCTTAACATCTTGTGAAAGTTTCTAATACAAACCCCTTTACTGATTTGTAGAAATCTGACCTAAAAGCTGGAGCAATTTTTTAATCTTGTTTTTTGTTCCGTATAACATAAGTTAAGTGGCATTTTCAGCAATAAGTTCGCCCTCTTTTGGCCAGACTCAAAACGTAATTGCTATTTAGAAGCTTGTAAAACGTGACTCAAAGCAAACACATCAAGTTAGTATTTCAAATACAAAATACTATTGTCCTCTAGCGGCTTAAAGTTGTGATTTAAAACAGGTTAAAAACTTTTAGTATAATAATTTTACAGAATTGAAAAGTGGGGGGGGGGGGGGATAAAATGCAAAAAACCTCAACACTTTTAAAAGTGAGGGGGCTGAAGCCCCCTAAAGCCCCTAAAGCTCCCACTGTTCCGTCACCCCTGTATATATTTATATATGTGTATATATATATATATATATATATATATATATATATATATATATATATATATATATACACATGTCAACTAAAATAAGAATACATAAACAAATAAAAAAGAAATAATATAAATAATTTTAATTAACATTTTTTAAATTAATATATATATATATATATATATATATATATATATATATATATATATATATATATATATATATATATATATATATATATATATATATATATATATATATATATATATATGACCCTGCTGAAAAAGAAACTGACACTAGAAGCTCAAGTTAGACATATGTTTTTTTACTTATTTATTACTGCTTTGTTCTTTAAAAACATTGAGCACTAGAATATACTAACATATTGGGCATATATGACACGTTAATAAAAAATATAAATACCTGAAATCCATAGAGTAGAGTAAGACTCATAAGAAAATTTTCCACCAAGGACATCATCTAGTAAAAGTTTACGTGAATCGCCTCTAGATAACCTTTTGGCCAACTTTCCTAAAATCCAATCTAATGAATATTGAAGTTGTTTAATTAGTTTTAAAGACTCAAAAAATAATAATATTACATATGTGTGTGTGTGTGTGTGTATGTGTGTGTGTGTGTGTGTATGTGTGTGTGTGTATGTGTGTGTGTGTGTGTGTGTGTGTGTGTGTGTGTGTGTGTGTGTGTGTGTGTGTGTGTGTGTGTGTGTGTGTGTGTGTGTGTGTGTGTGTGTGTTAAACACTAACTTACATAACTTAAGAAGAAACTTGAATTGACAATCCTTATTTTATTTTGTTATATAAAACTTTTTAATGCTTTCTTTTAATAGTTTAAAAAAAAATTTTAATGATTTCAAATTTCACTTGTAACAAACTTTTGACCTCCTTTTTTTGCCAACTTTTATTGTTTAACTATCATCAGGAGGCAAAAACAATTTCTAACAACAAGTATATAATAAATTATGTATATTAAATGAACATCCCTAAATTTACAAAAGACTGTATCTCTTTAAATAACTTATTTTTTTTAATTATAAATAAGAGAAAATGTTTAAAATATAAAAAAAATAAATTTCGGACTCCTCTTTTGACATCCAGATTTTAGACTGCTGCTTAGAATTGCCATGATTTAAACTAGTTTTGTTAGTGTTCCTGAATAATTAACCACTTGTAGCAAAAAAAAAAATGTCTCTATCAAGATTTATGACTTATTAAGTAAATATATCATTTAACTAAATTTTTAATCCCGGTATAACCCGTATAACCCTCTTGAGAGTTATAAGTCTTCTTTTTTATTCTGAAGGGTTTTATAAATGATTTTTCTGCCCATTTTCAAAACAATAACTGTTTATATAGTACTAAAAAAAATACTACACAAACCTTTCATCTTATATGTATAGATAACTTATAATGGCTCACTTTTTCAGCATGTTTGATGGTGCTTTCACTTTCAATGCAAAAAAAAAAATGCTTCTTGTACATCAAATGCATCACAAAATGATAGTGTTTAGGGAAGAAATTATAAATCATAGAATAGAAAAATCAAAAGTCCAAATAATTTTCTATTATTGCTGATAAGACCCTAAACAGAATTTTCAAGTTCAATTTAGAGATAAAGGAAAATTTGTTTAAGTTTATATAATGTTCAAATGGTGTTAAAGGTGAAAGTTTATTTAGTATTTTACCAAAAGCTATTTCTGTTTTCTACTTTGGATATCATATCTAAGCTGTAAAATCATAGCATGGATACTTTTTAAAAGCTCTTTATTCCCACAGTATTCTGTCTAGAACTTAAATATTTATTTATAAGATTTTAAATATTTAGTTATGCAATCTTTGCTACTTCTTTACTGAAGTTAATAACAGGTTTTGCTTTTTTTGTTGCATTTTGTGTATTTGATTTTTTTGTTGCATTAGCTCTTCCAATTGTTGGAAGGGCTATATCAAAATACAAGCAATAATGATATTTTTTATTGGTTTGAATCTTATTCAGGCATTTAATGATGGCATTAGATGTTGTCTCTACACTTATAAATATTATTGATCAGCAAATATGCTATGAACAAAGAAAAGCCTAAAATATCATTTATAACAAAAAACAGAGCTAATACTCCCTTCAAACCCAATTTAAATTGTTTTAAATTTATCATAAATGTTCCTTTGCTAGACCATCTTAGCTAAGCACAAAAAAGCATGATTCATTTAGTTCAGGCTTGGTCAGGAAGCAGGTGCGATCACACTCGATAACAGACCACGCGAAAAACCGGCCAGATTTTTTAGTTGTTTTGAGAACATTTAAGTTTATGTATGTTTCCTTGTTTGTCCGCAAAATAATAATTAAGTTCATTATTTTATCGTAAATTTTAAAATATTTTGTTTTACGGACTTACATGAAAACATAAATAAACTCAACACCTTTGTGCAGAAAAATAAAAAAAGAGTACTCGCAAACACAAAAAATCAGCCAAATCTACGAACAACTAATTCCATTGGTTCAAAACATACTATTGTTTTAATACTATGTCTCATTCTCGGAGCCATATCTACAAAGCTATAAATGTTTTAAACTAATATTATTTGTTTATAAAAATAAATGTTTTAAATTTATATTACTTAACTTGTCAACTTTTTGTAAATATGCTATTATAGATTTTATTATTATATTCTTTATATATATATATATACATATATATAAGGGATGTATTTTTTATGTAAGTAATGTAATTTTATGTATGTAATTTTATCTACGTGTATTTTATTCAAATGTAATCTTTTAAAGCAATTTGTGCGATTGATTTTGTAAACAAAAATACTTTCAACAATAACTGCGTTTTTAATGAAATTATTAATAATCATCAAAGTTAACAACAAATAATTTTAACCAGTAATCCATATTCCTCAGTGTACCCGATAACTGATTCTTTTCCAAGAAAGAAAAGTTTCAAAGTTCTTAAAAATTGGTTTACTAACTTCAATTATTTTTGGTTCAGCCATTCTTACAAACTCGTTATACTTAAACTTAAAGTTACTTTTTTCTGTTTTAAATGCTAATTAAAATTATAAAGCCCACTCAGTTAACGTCATCAGCGGTATTGTGAAGCAGCTCCGCTTCCTCCTTACAAAGTAATTTAACGTTTTTATTTAATTTCTATCTAGCTAATTGAATTTCTACAATAACTCAATGATTTAATTATTTCACTTGCTCATCTCACTAAGAAGAATTGTTTCAAATGTTTTAAACTTTTCAAACAACGTGAATTTATAAACAATTTTTTTATTATTTATAATTATTTTATTATTTAAAATTTATATTTATAATTATTATTTTATTACTTAAAATTTATATTTATAATTATTTTATTATTTATAATTATTTTATTATTTAAAATTATTTATAAACAAATCATCTAGCGTTAGTTTTAGTGGTTGAATCTTGTTGGACTTATCAGGGCCAGGGGCTGCATTATTTTATTGGTCTTTTTTATGTGCCACAGCGTAAAAATGACTAAAAAAATACCGAATAGCCCTCTTGACTATTTCGCACCCCCTAACATTGTGAGTCTTAAACTTGAGCCCATTCTAAATATTATTTCCGT